CTTTTTCCCCGCATAGATCCAGGAAAAAGTCAGCTCAAGCTTTACCGATAGTGGGGTTACTATATGACCTGGGGTACTGTAGAGGGTCCCGAGGGTAGGAGAGGTATGATACCGGGTATGGAAATGAACGGTCGTTTGATCGAACATTGTAAAAAAAATTAATTCCAGGGCTACAAGTATTTCTGAATTGTGCTTTTTAGATTTTTAGGGATCCACTCGGTGTTCTACTATCCCAACTCAGTGGGGTATGATAGGAACTCCAATTCAACCCCAAGGGTGTGTGATAATGTTGTTCAAGGTTCTCAAGAATTACTGTGGAACCGCTGGCAAGCTGACTGCATGTCAAAATCTCGGAATATTTGTGTAACCCTTAAATCTTGGCACTAGCGGATGAAACCGACCATCACTTGAGCCGCATCCCAACCTCGTTCTCTGGAGCAAAGAAGACCTCTTGATTTGAGTGTTCCCTTCCCCACCCTAACAGACAGCGCCTGATACACTTCTACACAAATAACCTCCTCCACCGCTCCAAACGATCTACAGCTCCCAGCATGTCTCTAAAGCGCAGTGCACCATTAGACCTCTCACCCTCCTCCCCCGCAAGCCCACCCCCACCAAAGCGCCAGCACCACAAACCCGCCCCACTCTCCTCCCCCCACAACCCACTACAACAGCCCCCCTCCAAGCTCCTACCCTCAGCACCCACTCCCGAAGAGGACGACTACATGAACATGACAATCCCAGACCCAACCCCGACTGGACCAGAGTCCTACACAGAGCGTCTAAAGCGCAAGCAACGCGCCGCCGAACTCGCACAGCCAAAGTCCAAAGCCGAACTCGCGCGTATCGGGGGGCGGAGTCGTGACGAAGCGCTCACCAAAAGTCTCCTCTGGCACGAGAGCGCCGGTGCGAACAAGGGGTTGAAAATGATGAAGAAGATGGGCTTCACCCCCGGTAGTGGGCTCGGTAGGAAGGAGTGGGAAAATGGTGGGGACGGGGCGAGGTTGGAACCTATAGGTGTTAGCATGAAGTCAGATCGTGCAGGGATCGGGTTAGAGAAGGCTACTGGCGAAAAGATGAAGGATGTCGCGGCCGGTATTGGTGTTGAGCAATTGAATCCCGAGGAGTACAGAGAGCGAGTCAGGATTCAAGCTAGGGAGGCAAGAATGGAGGCCCAATTTTTCAGCGCTCAGAAGGTTTGCGAGAAGTTTGAGGATACTGAGGATAATCTCGGGGGTAATGCGCAGCGGAGTGTACCCTTGAAAAGCATCAACGTATTCTGGCGCGGCCTGGTTAAAGCTCGTGAGGAGAGGGAGCGCGGAAGGAAGATGAAACACGAGATGTTGCAGAGTCTGGATTTGCCTAGGTTACCTGGATATGATAGGAACCATGAGCTGGATCATGAAGACAAAGTCGCGCTTGGGATTGCGCCCGGTAGGATTCGCAATTTTGGAATGATGGTGGAGGATGGAGCTGAATATGAGACTGACGAAGATGAGGAGTTGGCGGAGTTCGAGGCCTTGGAGGTTGGAGAGAGATTGAAGCGGATTGTGGCGCATTTGAGAAGCAAGCACAATTACTGCTTTTGGTGCAAGTACCAGTATCCTGATGGGGAGATGGAGGGGTGTCCAGGGCTCGGGGAGGATCTGCACGGCTAAGAGCCTTTTTACAGTCTAGTTTTACTTTGTAGCTTTGCTAGGGCATTATCATAAGATCTCATTATTCTCACACTGCTATCCATTCATGTACGATAGTTCAATTTCTATAGATTAGACCACAGTTGTCAGTTGTAGTGCTTCCCCACGCAATTTATTGACTCTCACTGAGCTCTGAGACACCAATCCGCCTGTCTACCCACCGCCGTTCCTGCCCTTCGAGGAGGAATAAAAAAACTTACACAACAACCAACGATCTAGATAAACAAAATCCCGTATCAGAAATCATCACCCAAGGAAGGCCCCCCCCCTTACAAAAAAAATGAAAGGCAAAAAAGTACCCCGGGTGAGATTCGAACTCACGACTTTCGCATAACCTAGCATACAAGTTCTCCCAATTAGGAGAATACTCTGTATAAGAACGACACGCTAACCGCTGCGTCACAGGGGTGTGATTGACAAACATCACTTTCTAAACATACTTGACTTCCCCCCACCTCTCCACAAGCCGTCACCCACCCCACCATCCCCACAACTAAAACAATAGGGGGAAGAAAAAGAAATAGTCACACCCCCCTCCTCGCCAAAATCCGACATCTAATATAATTAATCCTAAAAACCCCGCTGCCACCGCCCACCCGACCAACACTCTCGAGCACACTCATAACCTCCTTCACAACCCCCTCCCTTTCACCCTCATGCACCAACTCTAAAAAAGCATTCCCGAACAACCTCACCCACCCCCCAATATCCCCCTGCGGCAGCTCGGTCTGCCGAAGCTCCACCCGCAAGCTCTCAACGACGAACCCAGCCTCACCCCACAGCTTCCTGACCTCCTCCTCGGTCGGGAGCCACCACAGACATGCCTCGCGCACCACTTCCACCGCGACGCCCCGATGCACGAGTGCGGCGATCAGGGCGGTGTGGACCTCCGCGCAGTTCCCGTGGGCACCGAATTCCGCTGCGAAGGTTCCCGAGGGGACGAGGAGGTTATGAAGGGATTTTAGAATTTCAATGCGTTGGGGGGGGTGGGACGCAGAGGACCCAGTGGAGGGCGGCATTGGAGAAGATTTTTGTGAAGGTTTGTGGCGGGAGTATGGCGGAGGTTGTGGGGTTGGGGAGGTGGGTGGCGTCGAGGTGGGTGTATGTGGTTTTTGAAGTTGAATTGTGGGTTCTTGCGCTGGATAGCATGTTTTCGGAGCTGTCGATGCCATGGATTGATGAGCAGTGTCGGGATAGGCGCGCGGTTAGGACGCCGTCGCCGCACCCTATGTCAAGGATTTTGTCTACAGGGGTTAGTTGATTGGAAGGGAGGAAAGAGGGTGGGGGAAGGGATACCGGTTGGTTGGGGGTCGAGGAGAGAGACAATTTCTGTCGTGAGCTCTGCGACGAAGGGTGCTACTTCCTCGGTATAGACCTTTGAAGACCAATGGTCTTTAGCAGTGGTCGCCGATTGGGCCATTGCGAATTTGGAACTTGCACAATTGTGGGGATCTGCTGGGTTGGACTTATCAAAATGGTTATATGCTGGGGCTCTTTATGTCGAGTCCATCGGACTCTATTGTTGGGGGTGGAGTTTAGGTGTGGGGTAAGTGCTCGATATTTGGTGACTCATCCCAAAACACGGAGAGTTCGGCGGGGGAAACTGTCTGCGGTGAGAAAGTCCTTGCATACAATGTACGGTACAGTAGGTCGGGGGCTGTGAAGAGGGGATACTGGTAGATTGACATTCTGCAGGGATTTTGCATGAGAAGCTGCCGAGGAGCTCTCAGCCGGGATATCAACATTGTATTTTTACATGCACTGTACCAGTACAGCACTGTACACTTCCCAGAGCAGATGTGGGCCCACTGGTATGCCAGTTCATGTTAGGGAACTGACCAGGTAACCTCGATATACGCGGCCAAGCCATTTTATACAGAATCCCATTACTCTATACTATATCCTCCTTCCACTATAATTATTATGATACTAACTCCCAGTCTCCTAGCATGTGGGCTGGAGTAATCGGGACTTATGCCGGGACGTTGGAGTTTCCTCTCGTAGTGCCCTAACTTAGGGTCAATTATACCTTCTTGACTTTCTTCAGCAGAGGGCCGAAAGCCAGTTTTTTCCCTCCCCTCCCGGATGATCCTCCTCCCCAACTTTCATCCAAAGATGGGAATTGGGAACTTGTTTAATTACCCCAGCTCTCGGCGGTATCATACTCCAAAGCCAAGAGCTTACCCCCACAAACAAAAAGTGAAAGCGCAAATCGAGTGACATCCCATGACCGCTAATCCACCAGTCTACCATATCCCACCGCCAAGCCACAACCCCACCATCCCTCCTTGATACCGTATCATACCCAAGCAACACATCTCCAGAACCGCCAGAACCAACCAACAGACCACCGCAATGACGACAACATACACCCTCCCGCACCTCCCACCTCACAAGATCCACATAACCCACCTCCCCTCCCTCCAGCCCGCCGCCTTCAAAACCTTCCAGCAGGAACTCACCTCCTCCACCGCCACACCATCCGGCGAGTACGCGTTCCTGGACGCCAGCGTGATCCTCTCGACAACGCACCTGCTAGCCGCGGTATTCCAGGCTGTGCGCAACGAACTCGTCAGTGGCAAGCGGAGGACTAGGAACGTGCATAGCGAGGTGGTGTATTGCTTGGGAGGGAATAATAATGTATGCTTCCTCCGCTTTTGCTTTATTGGAGGAGGAAATGGTAAGCAGGCGGGCTAATGGAAATGTGTGTGTGTGTGTATGGGGGGGAACAGATTAAAGAGGCGTATAAAAAAGTTTGGCGTCACGGAGGAGACGAAGGATGTTATTGCTGTCAAGATTGCGCATGGGAAGGGGGAGTACTGGAGCGAGGAGGAGGAAGTGGGGGGGAATATTCGGAGAGTGATTGGCGAGGAGGGTGTTATGGAGGTTTATGACGATGAGGTTGCAAAGAGAGTTGTGGACGTTGAAAAGGTCAAGAGGTATTACAAGATCAAGACGGGTGGGTCCCAGACAAAGGGGATCGATGCACTGGGGATTACCGCGCTGGAGGTGGAGGTTTTGGGTAAGATGGTTGGGAGGGTTGTTGGATAGTTTCTCTTTTATCATCACCTTGTAATATTATACACGGAGTTTGCGGGGCAACGACGGTGGAATTATTGATTGGATAATTGATTAATTGATTGTAGTGTACTTGTACTATAGACTTCGTTGAGACATGGTGTATCTCTTTGGCTTCAAAGCTTTTCCCGAGTCTTGAGGACGGTTTGAGTGGTCCCTCTGCTTGCCCTCGTTTCTGTCCATCTGTTGATCCACTCCAGTACCTCTCTGTGCCAAACCAAACTGTTCTCTGGCTTCAAAACCCAGTGGTTCTCGTCGGGGAATGTAAGGAACTTGCTGGGAATTCCTAGAGATTGTAAGATATGGAATACTGATAGACCTTCACTGATGGGTAGACGGAAGTCAAGCGCATTGTGAATCACAAATTGGGGAGTTCCCCAGTTTTTGATGTGGGACGATGGGCTCCATTTTGAGTAGTTCTCAGGGTCATCCCAGAGGGTGCCGTTGAACTTTGCAAGGTTAGCGATAGGGGCGGGAGAAAGGGGATACTAGAGTATCGATTACCTCGCGCTGGGGAAAGTAAAGCTCGTCAGTTGAGTAGATGTTTTGGGGTGCGAATGAGCCATCGTGGGAGACCTGTCTTAAGTAAGTATCGTAGTGACGAATAGGATAAGGGATAGCATACTAAGGCTTGGAATTTCTTCCCCAGTGGCATCCCTTGGATATAGTTGATCATGTAGCCACCATAACTTGCACCCAGTGCGACTGCCCTGTTAAAGTCGATATAATTGTATTCTTCTGCGTTTTCCAGGTACTCCATGGATTTGACGAGATCTATGTATGGAAGTCCGCCCCATTGGTTCTGAATAGCATCTGTGAAAGCTTGTCCGTATCCCGTGCTTCCAGTTGGGTTTACTGTGACCACGATGTACTCAGCTTCGGCGAATAAAGCGGGATTCCAACGGGTGCTCCAAGAATCTGTCCATGCCCCTTGAGGACCGCCGTGGATGAGGAAAGCAAGTCGAGTTTTCTTTGAAGGGTCAAAGTTCGAAGGCTTCACGATAAAACCATGAACCTTAGTCTCTGCACCATCGAAGGAGAAGTCTTCGACGGTGATTTTAGACAGGTCGGCAAGCTGGGGGTCTACTTTGGTGGGAAGAAGTAGAGTTTTGAAGCGTTTTGAGGAGGGATTGAAGACAAAATAGCCAATAGACGAGGTAAGTGAGTTCCGAGAGATCAGGAAGTCGCCAGAGGGGAGAAGATGCAAGGCCACAATGTTTCCCTCAGCCGTAATCTCTTTTGGCGTGTCATCGTTAATGCGTGCTTCAAAAATTCTGACTCGCCCATATGATTCGGCAGTAAGGTATATAGTGTTGGCATCGCCTGACCAGAGAAGCCCACTGGGGGAGCAATCCCATGGCTTCCAGAGGGCAGTGATAGACGAAGAATCCATCATATAGATGAAGAGATTATTCTGGTCACTCTCATACCCGTTAATATACATCTGGAGATATGCCAATGCGCCGCCATTTGGTGAGAACTTTGGGGATGATGCAGCACCTTCAGGAAGAGGGTTTCCATCCGTGTCTTTGCCTTCGATATTGATCGGCTTAGGCTTCGAGGAGCCATCAAAAGGAACAATATATACCAAAACTTGGGTATAGTTTGCTGGGTTGAGATACGGGGTCTTTGAAACGAAGGCTACGGTTCGACCATCTGGGGAGACGTCAAAATCATCAGCACCCCCAAAGGGTGCAATTGGCGCCTCAATAGTGCCATCAGCGTTGGCCATCAAGTTCTTGATTTCCTTTTCAAGCTTGAACTTGTCATCGTCAAACGAGAGGACACCAGAGAACAAGGACGACTTCTCAGGCTTGTCATAAACATCCCAGTGACGAACAAACAGAGTTTCGTAAGTCAACCCGGTATCCAATTTCTTAGGGGCGGACTCCGGGTTATATATGGTGCCATTGGGGTAGGCTAATGCCGATACAACAAATTTTACCGATTTATCAGAGGGAGAAACGGCCTTTAGGTTAGACACGGATGCGGGAAGCGAGGCGGCCTTGTATCTAATAGAGGTCAGCCAGCCTATCCATGGCTTGTAGGGCAGGATGATATGAATATTACCGTACCCTTCGCTTGGCTTTGAATGTTTAGTGATCCACAATTCACAACCTCCTTTGATATCGGAGTTTGTCCCATTAATGTATAACAAGCGTTCATCGTCCAGCCATATTACTTCCTGAACTGTGGGGTCGCTAAAAAGTATAGTTGTATCACCGTCCCCGAGATTTAGAAGGTTCCAGGAGGAGCTTGAGCTGTGAGTATCGAAGGAGTAGGACGAGAGATGAAATATGGCGAGTGACTGTCAAAATTGGTCAATTGACGGGCACGTGGATCATAGGCGATCGAACTTACCCCTGATTTATTAGGGACCGCTTCCCCGCGTCGGGGCGCACTCAGGAGATCTCTACGCTAAGGTTAATGAGGTGCAGACAATGTTGAATGGAGCTATGATACTATACACTTACTCTGGAGTAAATTTCCCCAATACCAGGAGGGGGAACAAAAGCTGACAAGCATAGAGAGACTTCATGGTAAACCCCTATTATTTGCTAAAGGGACATGGGTGGTGAATTACCGGTATGAAGGGAGGAGAACTATTAAATTCGCCCTATCATGCGATACTGGCGATTTCGGGAAGAACACGCGCGGTACCAGTTATAGGGAAAAGTGCTTTACCTACCCTCAAATGTAGTGAAAGTGGGGAGGCATGAGAACCCAAGTTATTCCTGCTTTCGGTGGCTGGCGCGATAGAAGCGCCGCTTACATAAGATGACGACTTCCGATCGAGGGCATAATTTTAACGGTACTGTACTCGAGCTGCACTCCTGTCCCAACGTTGTTCCGTCATCTTCATAGGGCCAAAACTCGTATTCTAATCCCTGTCGCGGGACACATTTTTTATATGGAAAAGGATAATCCCCCCTGCGGAGGAAGTAGCCAGATGAAACTTTACAAGTACTCGTACTTGTAGCTTGGGGTGGCCAATGTGTCCTTCGGTGATGATGTGCCTAAGGATAAGGAAGGATACGGTAGTTCAGACGCTACTCCTCTGGGGATTCCCGATGAGGCAGGGCGATAGTCTACTCGTATGGTTGACTACCAACTCACCGCATTGCTACAGCCCCTAAAACGGGCTGCACTAATATTCAGCCTGGGTTGCTTCTCATTTCTCTCCTTCCTGGTAAAAAAATTTTTTGTGCTTCAATGGGAAACCTGGTGGGGCATGTTGGCTGTGAAACTCCTGTACGGGTACTCGAGTGCTAGTACAGTACTTGTACTGTACAAGTAAGATAGTCCACCGCTCACCGGATCGGCGAACAAGGATAATAAATTACATTAAAGCTCACCAATGCAATCGCCTTTTACACATAAATCTATAAGCGCTAGGCTCGTTATGGCAGGATACTTGCTTGGCTCTGTTCCTGATGCCTGAAGTACCGTGAACCCACCTCCTCCCTGCCGCTCGGTTGTGACAGTAGGCTGTCGCCCACAGCTTCGATCTCATCGTGTATGGTACAAGTACTTTATCTAGCTCGGATACGCGGGGGGGGGGAAGAGTAGGAGGGGTCCTCTCCTTTTTCCTTAAAAATTTCTACCCTCCTTGCGCCAGCTACTTATCTCTCCTACCTCTCACACCCCCTCTCTTCTTTCTTCCTCTTCTTCCATCCTTCTCTGCGTCCCCAACACCCTCTGATTCAATCGTGATTACGAGTACTGGTATTCTCTCTTCGCTATTCTTATACGGCCTGTACCCGCCTTGGTAAATCTCCCTCCTGTGTATTTTTAAGCTTCAGGGCCCTTTTGGAGGTGACTTTCGCCCCCCCACCCCCCTTAAGGATTGGCCCTTTATTTTTTATTGAGGATGCAGTGCCGCTAACTTGGTTCTAAACTTCTTTGATCAGCTTTCCCCAAATTCCTCTTCCCCGAAGCACAAACCACCTTATCCAGCTAATAAAAAATGGTACCCAACAGATGTGAGCTGAAATTCCTGCTGTTTTAATTGCTTTTTCTAACTATGCCCTTTCCAGCTGTCACTCATCGTCACTTTCAGGATACTGGCATCTGGAGAGATGCTCCAGTCTACAAAGGAGCAACCAAATTTCCCCCCCTCGAGGATGCGAAGAACATCCTAATCACTGGTGGAGCTGGTTTCATGTTTGTCGGCCCTTTCGTTTGTTGTATCCATTGTTTTATTTTTGTATCCCGAGGGTCTCCAACTGACTGGGAGCTAACAATGGATTAGCGCTTGCTGGCTTGTCCGCCATCTTACCCTCACTTATCCGGAGTACAACATCATTTCGTATGATAAGCTTGACTACTGCGCTTCTCTGAACAATACTCGTTGTCTGAGTACTGCCCCAAACTTCACCTTCGTCCATGGCGATATCACTTCTCCTGAGGAAGTTCAGAATGCTTTCCGTAAATACAACATTGATACAGTGTTCCACTTTGCTGCGCAATCCCATGTTGATTTGTCGTTTGGAAATTCTTATGAGTTTACTTCGACCAACGTCTATGGTACCCACGTATTGCTCGAGTGTGCCAAGAATCATGGCTCGTTGAAGAGATTCATCCACATTTCCACAGATGAGGTATATGGCGAGGTCGACGAGGACGGTGAAGATCTGATTGAGCAGAGCATCTTGGCCCCCACCAACCCCTACGCTGCTAGTAAGGCGGCTGCGGAAATGTTGGTGCACTCCTACTATAAGAGTTTCAAGCTCCCTGTCATCATTGTTAGAAGCAACAATGTATACGGACCTCACCAATTCCCGGAGAGTAAGACAATCCCTTCCTAGCCATGTATGCTTGGGTTTCTAATGAATTCTATCAATGCATAGAGGTCATTCCTAAATTCTCTTGCCTCCTCCACCGTGGTGAAAAATTACTCCTCCACGGTGATGGGAAGCACACCCGTCGTTATCTCTTTGCTGGCGATGCTGCTGATGCTTTCGATACTATCCTTCACAAGGGTTTGATCGGGCAGATCTACAATGTCGGTTCCACCGATGAGATTTCCAACCTGGAGCTCTGTGCGCTTCTCCTGAAGCAATTCGGCCATGACCCTGCCGTCGACTTTGATTCATTTGTCGAGCACACCATTGATCGTCCTTTCAATGACCGCAGATATGCTGTCGATGCTACCAAGCTGAAGAGTTTAGGTTGGGTACAGAAGACCACCTTCGCCGAGGGGTTAAAGGCTACCGTCGACTGGTACAGAAAGTTTGGAAGTGAGTGGTGGGGCAACATCGACCTTGTCCTTGTACCCTTTCCAGTCGTCAAGGATTCGGAGGTCGTGGATGCCGATAATAGTGGATCCAAGAGTTCGTAAATCTTACCACCGTTTTTTTATTCGTTTTCAATATACTTGTAGGGATTTAGAGGTTTGGGTTGGAACAGCTTGTTTTCGAATTGGGCAGCTTCGGTCCGGCGGGGTTTTTGCGAGTATACTGAAGTGGAATGTCACACGGTTTTCTTCACATTTAAGCTAGTTAGTGCTGTTCTATAAAAAAAACCCCATTTTTAATTTTACCAAGGCCACTGTACTGTGCTCGCGAAGCCATTCCCGTCATGGTTGACCAATTGCGCAGCTTTTCGGGTCCCATACCTTAAGGTTAAAAATTGTATCTTTGCAACAGATTTACATCTATCCACCCACTCACTCTTGGTATTCGACTATTATCCCGTTACGTGGGATATTGAGCACGTGGGAAACCCTGGAAAAGTCCTTGCATAAGCCACGAAGCAGTAATCTCCGCCGGGCGGGCCCCCCCTGGATGTCAAGGCTGGGGTCTCAACACCACACTCAAAATCATCTACCCTCACAGAAGGAGTCATCATTGGACATCACTCGTCGAAAGGAAGAGTTAGAAAAAATCGCCAGGTCTCCTCCGCCTCCTCTCATATTTGTGCCCAGGGCTAAGCGTGGAATTAGGCTATGTGGTCCATGACAGGATATCTCGGCTATCATATCATTACTTCCCGCAGCAAGGGAAAGCACAAGGAGAGGTGATGCAGGGTGGGGGGCTCTCTAGGCTAATGTTCCGGAACGATTCGTTGAGGATCTGGCGGGGTGGTTGGTTCGGGAGTCATGACGTCTCACTCGTGTGGTTTTGTGCCTACCGGTGGCAATAGATTTTTATATTATAATAATATTATTATATTATTATAGCATAGGGTATAGTAAAAATGATATCCCGAGTGTGGTCATGTTAGAAGCTGACAGTACACATTGGCCTTCGATAATAATATTAAAATAATAATAAAACTTATTTTTGGATATTATAATAGCTGCATTCATAGCAAGGTAGAGAGGGAACTGTGTACTTCTAAAAAGACGGTCGGAGAATATTTGAGAATCTCCGCGGCTTGGTTTGTGCTGGGAAACTTGTGAAAATTGAAGAATAGTATTACGAAGAAATATTTTGGGTTCATTTTGTTGGATAATGTTAGTGTTGTAATATTATGATAAATTAAATTTTTTTTTTTGAAATATGTAATACTATTGATAGGTTGATTGAAAGATACCTTATATGCAACAATACCGGGAGGAATGAAAAAGACAAAATCCCTTATAAGTATGATGTAATTGGTAAGAAACAATATGGAGTCTTATATTAACTTATTGGACTCAAAAAACTAATATGCATAAGTAATTTTATATCAGCTACTTAAGGATTGATTAATTTAATATAATATTATTATATTATTTATAATATAAAACAGACTTTTCCAAGTATAAATTTTGACATAATATTGAAGATTTATATATAAGTGTAGTCAGTACCAACTGGTAAAAGATAATGGTTTTTTACGATATATTATGTAAATTATTATTCCGAGATACTGTTTGGTATATAATGCTAAAAGAGATAAAGGAGTCATTTTTCTTGAAAGTAGTTGGACCAAACAGGAGGTAAAAATTAGTGGAAAAACTAGATTTACAATTACTATAATAATTATGGGAATATAGAAACCAGTTGTAGCTACTACATTTACCACTGGTAGCAAAATACACTATTTTATTTCTTTAAAAAATACAAACCTAAGCTCAGCTTAGCCAGACTATTACAAAAAATACTAGAGGAAAAAGTGAAAATAGCATATACTATAAGTAAATAAAAACATTTGATATAGGAAAGATATTGTCACGAATGTGGCTTGGCATAAAAAAGGTTTTCACATGATACATGGTTATGAGTCACAGGTATGTTATTGTTTCATACATATGACTTATTCGAGTCATATGATTTGTTATGTGTGGGATTTGTGATGCTTTCGCACATGGCTCAAATATGAGTCATGGGACATGCGCCTGGTGAGTATGCCTTACAAGTGTGCCTTGTGGGTAAGCCTTGCACATATGATTTATGTTTTGTACATGACCTCGTTATGAGGTCATGGGTTTCACGCATATGACTCAGTTGAGTCATATGACTTGTTTATTGCGTTATGATTGGTTTATGAGTTTTTACACATGACCTCGCTATGAGGCCATGGGTTTTGAGCATATGACCACTCTGGTCACATGACTAGTTTGTTATGATTTGGTTTTGCACATATGACCACTTTAGGTCACATGACTATGAGCGGGAAGAATACTATATAAGGAGGTGTAACAATCCCCCTTTGGACAATTAGTTCTTGGGAATGGAGAACGATACTTCTCTTTTGTGTCTTCTTCTTTCTTCATCTTATGATAGCTCTAGGCCTCCGCCTACGTTACCGATAGTACAAGACCTTTGTCTTCTATCAGAAATACCTATCGTAAGCTTTCTCTAACTCGTCTTCGTGAAGAACCTTCCTTGGTGTAACAATAACGTTGCAATAAAGATAAAGATCGTAAAGGTGCTTTATATTCGTTAAAGTAATAAGTAGGAAAAGTACTTAGAACAAAGGGTGAAGAACTTATCTTCCTCGGCCACATCAGCCTCCTTATATAGTATTCTTCCTGCCTGTAGTCATGTAACCTAAAGTGGTCATATGTGCAAAACCAAATCATAACAAACTAGTCATGTGACCAAAGTGATCCCATGCTCAAAACCCATGACCTCCTAGCGAGGTCATGTACAAAAACTCATAAACCAATCATAACACAATAAACAAGTCATATGACTCAACTGAGTCATATGCATGAAACCCATGGCCTCATAATGAGGTCATGTGTGAAACATAAATCATATGTGCAAGGCTTGCCCTCAAGGCACACTCGCAAGGCATACTTACCAGGTGCACGTCCCATGACTCATATTTGAGCCATGTGCGAAAGCATCACAAATCCCACACATGACAAATCATATAACCCGAATGAGTCATATGTGTAAAACAATAATATACCTGTGACTCATAACCATGTGTCACGTGAAAGCCTCTTTTATGCGAAGCCACGTTCGTGACATTAGCTCCCCTCCTCCTAAGCCTGCGTCCCATCAGGCTTTTTCTTCCAGTTTCAATAGATCCCGTCCTGCCGAGTGCATGGTCCTTCTCAGCTAGTGGAACTTTTCGTCTGCCATCCTCCATCTGACCCTTACCGATTCTAAAGTCAGATTCGCCATCGTGATCGTGTGCCGCTGATTATTGTTCAGCTGTCTTAGCTCTGCGATCGTTTTGTCGTTTGCCGAAATTGTGGCCTCGGCTTGGCCAAGTTGTTCTTAGAGTCCCTGGATCTGCCTGTATAGGCTCCTGGCATCCAGTTCCATGTCTGCTGAGCAGTTTTGGGCCCCTCCCTCCCTGGACTGCGTCCTCGCGGACCATGCCTTTCTGGCATCTTCTCCTTCCAACCTTTTCCTGCTTTCATCCTTCTTTGGGTAGAATTCCGCAGATATGTTCTGTGCCCTGTACATCCTGCACCCATTTCTGAAGCATTATTGCCAATGCTTTAGAACGTGGTCTGGGCATGGGCCACACTTTCGACATTCTCTTGAGAACTATCCTGAACCTTCTTTGTCGCCAAAATGTGTTTGGTAACTATCATCATAGTATACTGTCCATGACATGGCGTTATGCTGTGCTTGTTTTTCCCTTTCCTTGAGTTCTTCGTCAGTCAGCCCCATGAATGAGTATTCAGGGCTGGTGGGTGTGGTTTGGCGGTAGCTATCGCCCCAGCCCTCATGTTGTTACAACAGCATGGAAGCCTTTCGCTTGTTTTTGTCTTGGTTGAACGTGATCGTCACCTGGGCTGGGCTGGGCTGGGTATCGCTGGTGGAAGGTTGAGATTGCATCTTGTGCGTGTTCAAAGTTGTGTGTAAAGTACCAAGTTTTATCGTGTTCAGGTGAATATCCTGTCCACTTGGCTCGGTATTGGAGATGACCATGGAAGAAGCGGGAATCGACTATTTCGTCGAGCTCGTATTCTGGTTCTCCATTGAGTTCGATCGGAGGGGGAGGAATAATTGTTTGTGAGGGGAACTTGTTGTCATTGTGTAATTTGAGGAGTGAGATGTGGAATGTGTTGTATATTCGCATCGAGGGGGGAAGGTCGAGTTTATAAGCTCGGCTGCCCACTCTTTCCAGTATCCTGAATGGTCCGATTTTCTTGTAGTCCAATTTCTTTGAAGATTGTGTCGTATGGAGATTGCGTGGTATTAGCTATACCATATCTCCCAGTTATATGTTCGGATCTGGTCTTTGGTGCTTATCGTATTGTTCCTTTTATCGTTGTTGTGCTTGACTCATTTCGTATTGTAATGTTTCATGTAGTTTTCCCAAATTGGTTTTGTCCGGTATCACATCATTAATCGTATGATATGTGGTCTGACTTTGTGGATGTTGTCCGTAATTCGCGAAGAAGGGTGTCGTGCTGATTGTTTCTTGCTTTCCATTGTTGTATGCGAATTGGGCCATAGATAACAGCTTGTACCAGTCATCTTATTGATAATTGACGTAGGCCCTTAAATATTGTTCGAGTATTGCATTTACCCGTTCCGTTTGTCCATCCGTTTGTAGGTGGAACGCTGTGCTCATCCTGTTTTGTATCCCCATTTCTCCAGTTACTTTCTTCCATATTCCCGATGTGAATAGTGTTCCTCGATCAGTAATGATATTTTTTGGGAGGCCGTAAAGTTGGAAGACCTCTTGGAAGAATGTTTGTATAAAATCCCTTGTGTTGATATCTTTTCTGACCAGAATAAAATGACTCATTTTGGTCGGACGATTCACCATGACCAGGATGCTATCACAATTTTCCGATACTGGTAGGTCTATGATGAAATCCATAGTAATTGTTTCCCATAGTTGTTCGGAAACTTCGTTTGATTTCAGTAATCCATGTTGTGCGTGTTTAGCCGTTTTTGTCCTTTGGGATATGTCATAGTTTTTGACATATCGTATGACATCTTCGCACAGTCCTGATCAATAGAATGACCTTGTGATGAATTCTGTAGTTTTAGCTGTTCCCCCGTGTCCTGCCGTTCGGATATTGTGATGTTGTCATATGATGTCTGTCCTTATCTCCTCCTCTTCCGGGATCCATTATTTTCCATCGTACCACATATTTCCATCCTTCCATTGGCATAAACCCATAGCAATTCCTTTCAT